CCTGCCTCTGCCTGGTGCTGCTCTCCTGCTGCAGCGGCCAGGTCGTGTCGGTGGTGCAGACAGCCTGGGTGTTCACCCTGTCCCTCTGTGGGCCCAGGAGGATCAACTACTTCTTCTGTGACATCCCCCCGCTGGTGCTGCTCTCCTGCGCGGACACGTCGCGCTACGAGCGGCAGCTCCTCTCGGCCACGGTGCTCGTCATCTTCGCGCCCTTCTGCCTCATCCTGCTCTCCTACGGCTGCATCATCTCCAGCATCCTGAGGATTTCCTCTGCAGAGAGCAGACACAAGGCCTTCTCCACCTGCTCCTCACACCTCACTGTGGTAACGTTGTACTGCGCGAGTGGGACTTTGATTTACTTACAGCCAAAATCCAGTAATTCGCAAGAGGCTAAGAAAATTTTTGCTCTCATATACACAACTGTAATTCCCACTTTAAACCCCCTGATTTACAGCCTGAGGAATAAAGAAGTGAAAGAAGTACTAATCAGGGGGATGGCTGTGTTGACAAAGAAATAAAGATTTTCTTCTCCATGAATGTGTGGATTAAAAACCTTATTTCCATTCTTGGTGAGTTCTGATTGTTTAGTAGCTATGGGGAAACTGCAGGCACAAAGATTGTAAATATTTTGTCTTTATTCTTTGCTTCACAAGCAAATTATTTAGAAATTCTCTCTCCCTCTCTTCCTTAGGAGTACAATATATATATTTATTCTAAAGCAGAGCACTTCCCATGTCTAATTCAGGTATCCAGGCTGCAACTCCTCACTTCTATTGCAGGAGTTCTCCTCACCCTCTTACTGAATAGATACTTTTAGAGTGAATTTTCCAGACTAAGCATATACTAATTGATAGAGACTACGTGTTTTGCTTTGCCTTTTTTCCCCTTGTCATATGTTTTCCATTCCTTCCAGCAGAAAAGAGGTCCAATGAACGAAAGGGATGAGGAAATCAGTTCACTTCTTTCAGAGCCTTGTGTTTTTCATTTGAGGTGTGGGGAAAGTGAAGGAAAGGAAGATGAACTGATGGTCATTCCATTCATTATTTCCAGGAAGAACTCAGCATTTAATGCAGTGCAGTGCCCACACCCTCCAAGCACTGTGGAGTCTGAGCCAGGGGAAAGAGCATTCTGCAAGTCCCAGCTGGAGAAATTCATCCTGGCTTGAAAAGAAGAGTTTCCAGAGGATTAGCTGAGACAGAGGATTAGCACACAGAGAAAAGGGCAGCTACAACCTGGGGGTATTTATTTGGGAGGGTTTTGCAGTTTATTCTGGATAGAAGAGGTGCTCTGGCTCAGTGAAGAGCCTGGCCAGAGCCTGCAACATTCAAACTGTACTTTCCATATTGAGGTCAAGCAAAAGAAATCTCCATTACCAATGTGGCCGTGCTGACCTTTGAGGTCTCTCTGTTTCATCTGACTTACCCACCTGGCCATAAAGGCAGAAGAGGGCAGTAAAATTGAGTATAATGATCTTTTTTTGGTTTAGTTTGCTTCTAAAAGAGAAAGGCAATGTAAGTTATCTCAGGATGAAGTCATTGCCTGACTTCAGAAACTTCACAACGAGGAGTTAATGACAAAGTGGTTAATTGCATTTGGCAATGTTTTTTTGCTTAGACTCCTCTGGGGAGCTTAACTTGTCTCTGTATTGTTGAAACTCTTTTTTTTTTTTTCATAATTGGAGCACTGGAGAAAGAGTTAGTGAAACTTCATTTGCATTTCTACAGACTTTGCTTCTGGGAGCTTATCTACTTTTACCTCTGTAAAAACAGAGAATTTTTTTCTTGTTTTGTTATTCAAAAAGATAATACTGAAAAAAGCATTTTTAAAAAGAAATTAAAAAAGTTTAATGACTCTAGTATAATAACAGTAGTGTTAATCACTTTAAGGGACATTGCATTCCAAATGGTTAAAGCTTTTAATTTGCCTCTTTTAAAGATGTTTCAGACTCTGGTCCAAGGAGAAAGTGACATCCAGAATCATTCATCCATTGAGAACAAACCTTTTTTATTCCTGCTGCAGTGCCCTCCCACCAAACACTATCAGAAACTTTCTGTTTTTCCTGAATGCATCTCTTCTGTTTCCTGTTTCCACATGTGCACAAAGGATACCCCAAACAGAAACTGAGGTGGTAGGAAACAGGGCAGGCTTTTAGCTGGTGTAAATCAGAATTTCACCTCTAGCAAGGAGCACTGATCTTTGGTCCCTAAGAAACACAGCCACGGGTTTTGCTAGAGCTGAGCTCACACTTACACCATCCTGTCTCCTCTATAAGAAAGTGAAATTCTGGTTAAATGATGTCATTTAGTGGATCACAGCTTCACAAATAGACCAGGGCAGAAGTTTGTGCCTGGATTCATCTCCCCAACCCCAATATGTGAACTATTGATTCTGGCATTTTTATGGAAGAATGCATTTTAAAAAATCATACATTTTAACATTTTATTTATATTAATTATTTTCAGAAATATATTAACATACTTCAGAAGTATATGTGGAATGGTATTTAATAACTAATTAATTCACTTTTTCTGCCAAAAATTGGTACTGATTTAAATGTCTGTCTTGATATGGGCTGCTGAGATCTTGACATGCTGCCACAGTTTATGGTTCTGTCAAATCACCTCCTGCCATGGACGCACTTGATCTCCTTAAGGAAGCTCCAAAAAAAGAGCTGAATTAGTCATTAGTTATGTGTTGCTGGTGCAGTGCTTGATTCTTCACTTCAGAACCACATCATGAAGTTTTAGCACTGTTGGAATGTGCTGCTTCTTTAATTCAGCTTATGACATTAAAGGTCAGTGTTGAGTTTAATTTTTTATTTGCATTACAAGGGGGTTATTAATATACATGTATCTATGTAGTATAGAATGGAAGAGAGAGAGAAAGAAAGTTGTTTTGATTTATTGAATTTTTGAATTAATAAGGGAATTCTAGACAATGGCTTCTAGAGGCCACATGGTTCAGGATTATATAAGTTACAATAAATAATAAATACAATAAATAATTACAAATCAATTAATGCATCTTAGAGCTTTAACTAAGGCACCAGAGTTAGCACTCCAGCTAACACAGCTGATGCCACAATTCTAGAATTATCACCCCTGGAGCCAGAAGCAACCAACACACTGAAGAGACAAAGAAAACTTTATCTAAAGGCTGCAGAGACAAACCCTTCCCACAAATATTCACTTCTTCCAGCAGGCAGTGAGTGCAGGGCTCAGGCTGGGTGCAGCCTCTTACCAGTGCTGACATTGGGGCAGGCAGAAGGGTCAGGATTTGCAGTTAGAGAAATTAAATATCACTCAATTTATACACACAGCCAGCACAACGAGCCCTTCAGCTCTCCATGGAAGGAGGGAAGAAAGGAGGAGATAAAGAATATTGAGAAATGTTTTGATTTCAAGACATGACATGAAATTTTAATGTTTGGCAAAACATCAAAAAGTGACATGAGGAGGTTTTTCCTCTTGCTTGGTTTTATTACTTTCTTTTCTCTTTTTTTTTTTTTTCCTTTTATTATTCTGAGTTCTACTTCCTCTTATCAGTTTCTCTCCCCATCAGTTGTTTATATGTTTTGTGGGAGATTTTTGTTTCTGCTGTCAAGAGGGATTTAATTTCTCACTTGTCTCTCTAAGGAAATTAAACTCAAACAGCTCTAAACCTAAATAATCCTTACAGGTCTGAGAATTTTCTCCCACTAAAGCATTTTCAGAATGCTTTTTCCTCTCTCTCAACATTGCTGGTGAAGTTACTAATGCAGGAATGTGCAGATGCCATCATGCTGATGCCAATTTGATTTTTTTGCCTTTTTTCTTTTATTTATTCTCTCTATTCTTTGTACATACATTTGTATCTCTGCAGCCTATTATTGTATTCTAGCTCGTTTTCCCAGTACTTTTCCCTGCCCTGATAGGCAGAAAGACAAAACACATTCCAAGGCCCCAATCCCATCTTGGTTCTCCATAGGAACCATCTCTTCCAGACTTATTTTTATAAACAAAGTTTGGTTTCTGTCTGAGGGGGGAAGATTCAGAGAAGGTTGAAGTGGGGGAAATTGCATCACCTCTTGTGCTCCTAATTGGTTATTTTTTCCAAATGGGCTAATTTGCTTCACTTATAGAACTCTGTGGGGGAGGTGGGCATTTTGTGGACATTTTCCACATATTTTCTATGTCTGTCACTGGAGGCCTTCAATAAAGACCAATCTTTATATTGCCCCTCTATATAAATATTATCTCCAAAGTGTGTTGTTCTATTTGCAGCTTCAGTAAGGCATCAAAGCTAACTTAGAGATCTACACTAGAGTGCTGAAGAGAAGTGAGACATGCTGGGGTGGTTTCCACAGCAGAGAGCAAGGCTGACCTTGCATGGTCAGTACCAGGCTGTTTGTCCTGGTTTAGGGCTTGGTGTGTCATGGAGATGTCTTTGCAGTGATCTATTGCAGACAACTTTTATTAGGCCCTAGACATTGCACCATGCTGCACACTCCTTGTGACTGACCTTCCTAAATGGATGGGAGGTGAATGTTGTCCCATCTCACATCTAGAAAGTTGCTCACTTACTGAAGGAGCAGGAATTGTGGCATTCACGTTCTCTGAACAGAGAGAGAGAACTAATTCTCTCACCCAGGTTTTTTTCCTGGAGAAGCACAGAGAGAAGAAAGAGAAAACAATTCTTATCTCTACTTACTACTCCTATTGTTTTTACACATGTGGAATGTGTTAAGAAAATTGTTTACCTGAAAAGATTTAGTAATTAAATTCTGCTGAGGATTGTTTTGTTTCCTTAGCCAATTAGAAAAAGCTGTGTCCTAACTACCTAGAGACAGTCACAAGTTTTCTTTAGTATGTAGTTTAGTATAGTATTAATGTAATATAGTAGAGTTTAATAAAGCAATTGTTCAGCATTCTGAATCAATGGAGTCAGATACCAATCATTCCCAGAGTCAGGGGCACCCTACATTCTTCTCTACAGGAATATCCGTGATGAACACAGTTTTGTCATGGCAGCACCAGATTTGATGTCTTTGGATCTACTGTCCGCTCTGGTTTCTGTTTTCCTGCTGACAGAAATATTTTCCCCAGTGTTCTCCTGATGGCCTTTTTCATCTCAGTGTTCCTGAGTGTGTAGATCATTGGGTTTAGCATTGGAGTGACCACAGTGTAAACAACAGAGACCACCTTGTCCCTTGGGTATTTCTTATAAGGCTGGGCATAGGTGAAGATGCAGGGGATGAATATTAAGCTCACAACAGTTATCTGTGTTCCACAGGTAGACAGAGCTTTTCGCTTCCCTTCTGTGATGCACGTCCTTATCTTCAGCAAGATGACAATGTAAGAAATAATCAAGATTACAAAAAGGCTGATGAGGATCACTCCACTATTAAACACCATCTGTAGCTCAGCCTTGCGAGTGTCACTGCAGGCCAGTTTGATGACTTGAGGGACGTCACAGTAGAAATTGTCCAGTACATTTGGGCCACAGAATGGCAGCTGGAGAAGAAAACCAGTTTGTGTAATAGAATGAAGAAATCCACCCAGCCATGCAGCTGCCACCAGCCCTGTGCAGGTGCTCCAGTTCATGATGGACAGGTAGCGCAGGGGCTCACAGATGGCCACGTACCGATCCACCGTCATCGCCAGGAGCAAAAATGACATTGCACCTGCAATGAAATGGAAGAAGAACATCTGGAGGAAACACTGGTTGAAGGAGATGACTGTGTGCTGGGTGAGGAGGCCTGACAGCAGTTTGGGGGTGTTGACTGAGGAATCACTGACGTCAAGGAAAGCGAGGTTGGCCAGGAGAAAGTACATGGGGGTGTGGAGCTGGTGATCCACAGCCACAGTGGCAATGATGGTGAAGTTCAGCAGCCAGGTTATTACATAGATGAGGAAGAAGATCACATAGAGACAATACTGCAGCTTGTGGCTCTGTGTCAGGCCCAACAGGACAAATTCTGTCACGGTGGTGGTGATGTTCTTTGATTCCATTCTTTATCCCTGCACAAACAAGAGCAATAAAGATGACTATAAATGTGTGTTGGACTATAGAATTATTAAAACACAAAATCATATCACAATTTATGATTAATCCAGGAGGGATTTCTGGAGGTCATCAAGTCTCACAAACAAACTCTGTGGACTGTTCAAGTATGTAACCAATCTTATAGGGGGGAAAAAACCCAAACCTGTTGAGATCGGCGGGAGAAGTGCGGCACGCAATATGAGTGATCAGCAAATCTCAGAACTTTATTGATAGGCATACATAGTTATATTGGTGTTAATGAGGCTAATGCATATTGCAAAAGGCAAGCTTATTATTGGTTAGTTACTTATCAGCTAACTACGCCTACTTCTACATTCTTGTGTTACTCTGTTGTAGCTTTTCTTACCTTTTCTTCATGTTTCTAGCTAACGGTCCTCTCCCCCAAATTCATGTTGCAGCAAGGGCATAGTGATCTTTGTCAGCTAGCCAACTGTCCACAAAATCCTCTACACAAACCAAAACAAAACAAGAAAACCCAAACAAATTCCCTTACATTCAGTGAGAACTTAGTATGTTTAGTGTCTGCTGCCTTTCATCTTATTGTTGTACACCTCCAGGAAGGCTCTATCTCCTCTGTATCCTCATCTCATCAGCTGATTATACACAGAAATCTGGTTTTCCCTTAGCCTTCTCTTCTGTATGGCTGAACAGACCCAGTTCTCTCAGCCTCTCCTTGAATGTCATGTAATCCAGCCCAGTGATTAACTTGGAGGCCCTCCAAGGAAGTCAGTCCAGTGTATGTATGACTGTCTTTCTTGTCCTGGAGTGCTGTGCTCTTGACCCAGTCCTGCACTGAGGAAGGGTGGGATCATTTCCCTGCACTAGCTGGCCAGGCCTCTGCTGGCAGAGCTGAAGCTGTCACCTTCTGTGACAGAGGAACACATTCCCATCCCCTATTCAGCTGTTTGTCTGCCAGGGTCATTATCTGTGGAAGAGGTTTTGCAGTGACTTCTGTGAGCCAGAGGGAAGTTTCAGAAGAGGATCCATGTTTACCCATGAAAGAATTTCCTACCAAGGTTGCTGACATAGAAACCAAGAAAGAAAGAAGGATAAATAAGAAAAACCTGAACTGTCTATTCCAATGAGGACTTGGTTTGTCTCTGGTGACCAATGAGTAAAGTGTAAACTTATGAGTTTTGTAAGAATGTATAAAAAGCGTGCAGGCTATAATAAAACTGGATTTGAAGCCTTCTGAAAATGGAGTGTTGCTTTGCATTGTCTCCATCTCAGCTATGACAATTATCTACAAAGCTGCTTCCTGAACAGGCCCCTGGCCTCTGCTGACTGCACAGGCTTGTCCTTTCCCAGATGCAAGATGACATATTTACTTATGTCAGACTTTATAATGTTCATGCCAACCTTTTTCTCCAAACTGTCCCTACAAATACCAGCCCTGCCATCCAGTGTACTGACTACTTTCCCCATTTTGCTGTCCTCAACAACTCCTATCACCACTTGAGTTTGTGTAAAGTCCCTCTCTATTTCTCTTGTAGGCCACTTCCTGGTTCTGGAAGGCTACTGAAAGGTTTCCCCAGAGCTTTCTCTTCTCTCCATACATTAAATAAGCCCAGCTCTCCCAGCCTGTTCTCACAGGGGAGGTGCTCCAGCCTCCTGACTGTATGTGTGGCCCTCCTTGGATCAGGAGGTGCATGGTCCATTTGTGCAGGTCCATGTGCTCCTTTAGGTTGGAGCCCCATAGCTGGGCACCATTCTGCAGGTGGGGTCTCAGGAGAGGGGAGTTTTGGGGCAGAATTATCTCCCTGGACTGGCTGGCCATGCTGCTTTTGATGCAGCCCCGGGTATGATTGGTTTCTGAGCTGTGAGTGGACATTGAGGGGACATATTGAGTCTTTCATCCACCAAACACCCTCAGGTCCTCCTCTGCAGGGCTGCTCTCAATCCATGCACTGCCCAGCCCTGGGACTGGCCTCACCCATGAGCAGGACCCTGTGCTTGGCCTTGTTGAACTTTCTGAGGTTTGCCCAGCCCACTTCTGTCCTGTCAAGGTTCCTCTGTATGGCGTCCCCTCCCTCTGGAGCATCAACCACAGCACTCAGCTTGGGAAGCAGCACCTCTGCCTGGCAGCCTCACCTAAAGCAAGGACTTGCAAGTTAGGCTGAGCTGAAGCTTATCCATGGAGCTGCAGTGGCTCTCTGTGTAAATACAGACAAAAGAGTCACCCACACAGGACCTGCTGTCCCTAATCCTCCACTCCCACCGCTGGGGCTGCCTGGAAGTCCACATTGGGCCAGGTGATCTGTGCACTAAAAAATAAGTCAGGACAGGGGAGGTGGCTGTCTCAGCTCCCATCAGAGTCAAGGACTCTGCAGAAGGAATGTGATCACCCTAAAGTCAACATCACTGTGGCCAGGCTATTCCTCCTGGGCTCCATGGACAGCTCAGTCTCAACCCCAATTTCTTCCCAAGTTCTGGCCTTATTACGAAGATCTCTGCATCACAGTCCTTTTTCAAACTTCTTTTCAGTCAGATAAATGGCATGAGTTGAAAATCAGTGTCTCAAGTTTCAGAAAAATAATGTTGTAATATTCAGTGAATTTGGGGAGACTGTGGGGGAGTTCTAAGAGAAGATGGCAGCTGCCCACCTGCACCCACAGCCCAAGATGACTGAGCCCTTTCCCTGATGGGAAGTTACTACCTCTACTTGGCTGCTGAAACAAAACTCTAATTTCTTCTAAGAAAAAACCACATGCAGAATAAACCACATCTTTTTTATTTTCCCCTATAAACTATTCCCAAAATGGAATTTCAGATAACTATAGAAATTAGAAGTTTCTGCACATTTCCATTGCCTCTGGTGAGTACTCTGCAGGGATACTGTCATTTTTTCCCATCAGTTTCCTCCTTAGTGTCAGTGAGTAATTCCATTTTAAATCCCTATATACTTAATCCTATTTTCTGCTTGAAAATTGCAGGGTTTTTTTCCACAGATCCAAAAATGAAAACCACTTTTGGCAGGAAATCATATTTTCTAACAATACACAGTTAATACTGTGTACTCTTTGTTCTCATTTCCCATAAAAAATAGTATTTTCACAGAAACTTGGAGGAGAGAAAAAACAATTTGCTTTCAACTCTAATCCAACCTTTCTCTTTTGCCTCAGTAATCTCCCTAAAATACAAGTAAGACTGAGCTCCAGCAAAAACCTGAAATACAGAAATGCTGAGACAGGTATGATTCATGCCTGCCTTCCCTCAGACCTCTCCCAACACATGGGGAGTGTCTCTGAAGCTGACTCTGTCAAGTAAGATTATATATTAAAAGTGATAAACAAGCATTTCAGGTCATTTTCTCTTTCACAGTATAATCACTGCCACTGGCAGCATGTGGAATCACTCATCCTTCCAGTATTTTTGGCAGAAAGAGCAAATACCTTCAGCAAACTCCTGTTTGTGATCCAACTTCACACAAGCTACAAGATGTCATTCTCAAGTTACAAGATAAAACAGCACAGCTCTACTCAGAAGAGAAGGATGCAAACCTACCTCCAACAGAAGACTCCAACAACCTTCCCTTATAGGATTCCTGATGCCTTTGTTAAGGGAAATGATGGGATTCAAGAAGAAATCCCAAACCACCTTGCACTTCTGGTCATTCAAAAAAGAATAACAATAATATAATTAGCAAAAAGTAGATTTTGTCACTGTGGGGCTAATTAAAAAGTTCTTATAGTGCTTTACATCATGTGGATCAGGACCACGTGTTGATGAAGGAACCTTGTGATAATTGGAGCAGAAATAAAATGGGAATTTTCATGGCAGTGTAGTCACTCCTCCCCTTTGCAAGATGAAAAAATGCAAATTACAATTCTCCCAACTACAGACTTGCTGCCTGGAGCTTGTGTTCAACTGTGCTTTGAAATAAAAGTTCAGTCATTGCTACAGGATTGTTCGATCACTAAAGCCTTCAGGGCAGTGATTCTAAAACACTTCTCTGCTCCTTTGCTCAGAAAAAAAAAAGTGAATTTTTCTGCTTATACAATAAACCTTGGTCTGCACATACACAAAGGGGCACAGATGCCCACCAGCAGATAGAGAAACCAGAGAGAAACCTAATCAGAGAAATGGACACTCTGGTCCACCTCTTCCAAGGGCTGTCCCAGGAGATCCAGCAGTCCCAGGGCTGGGTGTGGTACCTGTTCCAGTGGGTCAGTGGGAACAGCCTGGGGGCAGCTCATAGCCTGAGGCACAGTTAATGCCCAGGAGATAAAGGACCCATTATAGAATGGAGGGAGAAAAGCATCTCAGATGGTTCCAAGATTTACCAGGGATGTTCAGGGGAGGAGCCACACTTGTGTGGCCATGCCCTGCTCCTGCTCAGTGCAGTCAGGATTTCCTGACTGAGTGAGGGGTCTCTATTCTGTGTGCCCATGTGTGCTGCAGCTGGAGTCACAGTGCCCACGTGGTGCCAGGTGCCACTGGCCTGCTTGGCCACACATGAGCTCATCTTGAGCCCCTGGCAACCAGCACACCCAGGCCCTTCCAGCTCTTCCCTAAGCCTGGAGCACTGCATGGGCTTGTGACCCAGGGGTAGTGTCGCCATGATATTTTCTGAAAAATCCCTTTGCCCAGGATTTTTTCTCCTGAAAAGCTGGGAAGCCTCAGAGGAAAAGAAAAACAATAATTATCTGTTGCTGTGGAATGCAACAGGTGCATCTTTGATTGGTCCATGTTGGTTGTTTCTACTTAATGGCCAATCACAGTCAGCTGGCTCGGACTCTCTGAGAGTCAGCTTTTACCCAGCACCTGGCCCTGATGAGCCTCCTACCACTGGCCTTGCTCCATGGGTCCAGCCAGAGACCCCTCTGCAGAGCCTTCCCACCCTCCCAAAACCATCCAAGCTGGTGTCTGCCAGCTGACTAAGAGTGCACTCAACCCCCCCATCCAGATCACTGGTGAAAGATACTGAAAAGGACTGGTCCCAGTACTGAGCCCTGGAGAACACCAGTTGTGACAGGCCACCAGCTGCATTTAACCCTTAACCACACTTGGCACCCAGCTGCCCAGACTGGTTTGTACCCAGTGGAGAGTAAGCCCATGCAGGCCATGAGCAGCCAGTGTCTCCAGGAGAGCACTGTGGAAAATTGAGTCCAAGGCTTTAATGAAGTCCATGGTTCAGAAATTAAGGGGTACAAGGAAGGGAAATACCAACTTTAATTAGGGAATCAGTGTCTTACAATTTGTGAATGTGTAAAGCAGACCAATACAAATGGTGCAGAACTACAACTGCTACAGAAATCTCTGAATTAAGCCTTGCTGTCTTTAATACTGTGTTGCAACTTAGCAGTCAGCCCAGAACCCCAAAGCAAGGCAGCAGTGCAGACCATTCAGCTCTGCCAGAATGAGACCAAAACTCCAGGATCAGCCTGGTCACAGATGTCACACAGATGTCTCCAGTATGTACTGAGCAGAGACAACTGAGTGAGGCATTTAGTTCATCAAGACTGATCCTTCAGCTGCTCTGACTACAGCATGGCATAAACCAGAAATATGTGGACTGCTGTTGTTCTGGATGGCAAAGAGTAGGTCTTTATCTACCTGAAGTGCCTTTTAATAAAATCTTCTAGCCTCAACTTACATCACACTAGGAGTATTTCTCCAGAAGTACTGCTATAATAAACTTCACTGCCCTGTGGACTTCACACCCTGCAACCCCCTCTGGGATATGGAAGTGGGTCAAGGGAAGCACATGGATACATTTTCTGCCACTGTAGATGATGAAATTGCAATCTGCTTTACAAGGGAAGAGGTACTGCTTCCCAAGGCAGACCAGGCAGCTTGGATATCCTCAGTGCCCAGTCAGGGGGAACACCCTGAACACAAGCACCACCTCTTGGGATCAATAAAAGAAAACCATCCTGGTCTGAGGTAAGCACAAGGAAGGCAATAGCTGAAATGTTCCTTTGGACTAAAGCTGTGACTTGCAATGCCTCACACAGCGAGGTACCACCCAGCTTTCCTGAGCTCAAGCTTAGATGGGCACTCAACCAAGGCAAAGCAATCCAGGGGCTACAATCTGATTGTCACCCTTTCCTCTACAGGCTGGCAAAGCAGGGTTCTCCCTCATCCCTGCCACAGCACAAGGGGTATGGAACCCTAGAAGGGTGTAACTCTTTGGATTAGATTCAGCTGAAGGTACTGAGACATCAACTTGGCACCAGACACAAGAGAGGGCAGTCTCCAAGCAACCTGTATTCAGCACCCTAAGATGGATCGAGAATTCTCCCACAACCACCAAGACCAAGAAAGAGACTTTAGCTCTTCCACTTTGCCTGTCATAATGGGGAAAAACAGGAAGGGCAATTTCCAGTACCATGCAGGAATTACAACAGCACTAGGACCTGTTTCCTGCTGCCACATCTCTCAAGGGAGAGGACATGACACCCCCAGCTGCTTTGCCAGCAGTTCACACACACACACCATGCAAAAGGGGAGATGGGCAATTCCACAGTCACAGTCCTTTGAGGGGTCGTGCCCTTCCCCAAATGCAGGTGATGTTAACATTCAGGTGGCAGTAAGAGGGATGATTCCTAAACTGGGGATGCACACAGTGAGATACAGGGGAAAGGATTGCTCACCCCTTCTGTACGTGGATGGGGAAGTATCAAGGGGCAGGGCTCCCCTCTTTGATGGGAAGGCATGTGAGCTCACACAAACAGTGCCCAGCCCAACAGGGGAGGCCTTAAGCCACAATGTCCTTCAGAGCTGCAGGCAGCTCAGGGAAGATGAAGTGGTAGCCGCTCTCCAGGGTGCGTTTGGGCAGCACCCTCTGTCCCTCCAGCAGCATGACCGCCCGCTCTGCCCCAAAGACAGCCCGCACGGCCCAGGCGGGCACCGGCACCAGCGCCGGCCGCCGCAGGGCTGCCGCCAGCTCCTGGGCAAAGGTGCCATTGGAGGTGCCAGGGGAGGACGGGGCAACGCCGTTGAGGATGCCTTGCACAGACTCCTTCTCCAGGGCATGACACACAATCCCAGCCAGGTCCTGAATGTGGATCCACGGGAAGGGCTGCAGTCCAGAGCCCATGGGGCCTCCAAGTCCCAGACGGAAAGGCAAGAGCATCTGAGAGATTGCACCGCCATCTCGACCCAGCACCACACCTGTGGGGAGAACAGAGTGAGACCAGGTCCCCTGCCCAGAGGGCAAGACCCCCTTCACACCCACACCTACAAGCAGGAGAATCCTTAGAGGGCTGGCCTGGAACAGGACCCCAGCAAGGAGAGACAGAAGACCTGATGCCCTTTACCCCCTCTTCCCACTCTTGCCGCAGCAGTAAAGCAGTCACCATTAATAAGCACGATGCCCCATCTCACCTGATCTCACCACAACACCACGAGCTGGGCTCCCAGGGATGAGAGCTGCAGCCTCCCACGAGCTCACCAGGCGTGAGAAGAAGTCAAAATCCCCTCCTGGACTGTCTTCAGTGTACTCAGCTGTGGGGCTGGGGCGGTAATAACCTGCAGGGTGACAGCAGAAAGGGGGTCAGGGGTCAGTGATCACACCCAGCCCCCCCTTCCCCATCAGACCATCTTCTCTGCCTCTAGGAGCCCAGAACTCCTGTGAGGAAAGGCTGACAGAACTGGGATTGCTCAGCCTGTAAAAGAGACCTAACTGCAATCTTCCAGCACCCGAAGGTAGCCTACAAGAAAGCTGGAGAGAGACTACAAGGGCCTGGAGGGCCAGGACAACGGGGAATTGCTTCAAGTTGAAAGTGAGTTTAGACTGGCTGCTAGGAAGAAAATCTACCCTGTGAGGGTGGGCAGACCCTGGCACAGCGTGCCCAGAGCAGCTGTGGCTGCCCCTGGATCCCTGGAATTGTCCGAGGCCAGGCTGGACAGGGTTTGGAGCAAGCTGGGACAGTGGAATGTGTCCCTGCCATGGCAGGAGGTGGGACTGGATGGGCTTTAGGGTCCCTTCCAACCCAGACCGTTCTGGGATTCTGTGAGCTCGATCACTCCCCCAGGGACATCCTCACAGGAACAGCACAGGGTCTCTGATGGCAATGCTGACAAGTTTTTGAACTACCAATGTGCTCCACAGGTTCAGTAGGATGCACTAACACTCAGGCAGCCCCAAAACACAAACAGGCCTGCAAGCAACACACTGAGATGGCTGGAAGGGGCCTGCTTTAACACTGGGCATCACAGAGGATAAACCAATGCTTTAAAGATAAACCTCAGCTTTAAAAACTGCTGCAAGCAGGAAGTTGGAGATTATGCAGAGAGCTTCAGCTGAGGCCTTACTGACACAAATTGATTCTACAAGATGCCTAAAGGCTTTCACAGGAAAACACAGAAAAACTTCTGCCCTAAGAACACCAAGAAAAAACATAGGGACCCAAATTCCTCTCCAGCAGCACTAAAAGCTTAGCAAGGCTTGCCTAAACACAGTGACACTGATGGCAATAAAGCTGATGTTTCAAGGCAAGACAGGTGCTCCTGAGGAACTGTGTGTCTGCAGGCAAAGCCTCTCCAGGTCAGCACGAGTGCTGTCTTGGCCAGGCCCAACCAATACCTACGCCAGTGACGAGGACCCAGGCACGGGGTGGCTGCTCAGCAGCAGCAATGGCTTTGGCCAAGGTCTTGGTGGTCTCCACCCGGCTGCTGACGACCTCCCTGCAGAAGGCATCACTCCATCTGGGAAAGGGAGAGCCAGAGATTAAACACCTCACAGGACACCCAGAAAACACTGCCACCGAGGGGGACCCCAGCCAACACCAGCTCACAAGCACAGGTGATGCCTCAGGTTTTGGCTTTTGTAGGAGAGGTCACAGAACTCCCCTCACCCCAGAGCAAAGGGAGGACATGACATCTTACAGCACAAAGGCAGGGGAACTTTGGAAGATGGTGGTTCTTCCTTTACAAGATTGTGGGGTTTGGACTGCCTTCAGACAAAGTCAGCAAAGGAGCTAGACACCAAAGCTGGTGTTCCTCCCAGAAGTCAAACTGTGGTTCTCATTTTGCATTAACAAATGTAGGCACTACAATGTCCTTTTGGAAATGTGGAACTAATGTTTCTGGCCTCCAGCTGTAGATCCAGGAGGGAACCTTTCTTCCAAAGGTCTCTCAGAATGTACCAGGCACCACGGAAATGTTCTGGGTACTTGAGGATGCAAATGTTAAGAGCTGGTTAACTCAACAGCTTCCTGGTCATGTTGTTTCCTCCCTTTCCACATTCCCTGACAACACAAGCCTATCTTGCCTCCACCTTGTCCCAACAGGACTATGGAACATCAAGTTACCTGCGGAAAGGGTTGAGGACATTTTCACCAGCCAAGTTGACCACAGCATCACACAGGGGCAGCCCGGAGCGGGACAGCTCCTCCTAGGCAGAGTAACAGACATCACACATCAGGCCTCCCCTCTGCTCAAGCCTTCCCTGCAAACAAACAGGGCAGGCTCCCAAGAACTTCAGCCACTTTCTTCCTGACATTTGCAGAGACAAGCACAAATGGAGAAGGTTTTGCGTCTTGTACCCATTCCAAAGACTGTGACCCATGGAGCACCCAGCATAAAGGACATCCAGAGGAGCCAGACCTGCCTTGGCAGGGTCCCTCTGTGCCATGGAAAGCCAGGGCACGCAGCCTGGTTTCTCAGCCCTGTCACATTCCCCCTGCTGTGACCGCTCTCATCTCATACCCAGCTGATCCGATCCTTGCCCCCTCTTCGAGACACATGGGTCACTTCGTGCCCTCGGCTCCGCAGCAGCTGGGTCAGGGCTCTGCCCACGAAGCCTGTCCCACCACCTGGTGAGAGAGACAGACAGACCGTCAGGGCTGCATCCCTGGGCCATCACCCCCGGCAGCAGAGGCGGCCCGTGCCAGGGGCTGCATCACCGCAGCCCAGGAGCAGCGCCCGCGCACACGGCCAGCCCCCATGCCCGGCGTGGGGGAAGAGGCGGCCGAGCTCCAACCCAGCGGGCAGCACCTGCAATCCAGGCCCGCCCGCCCCTTCTCCAAAACTCCGTTCCGCTCAACACTCCCGCTTTCACGGGACCCGCTCCCTCACGGGACCCGCTCTCAAGGCCCCCGCACCCGCAGGCCACCAGCTTCCTCACGACCCCCGCTCCCTCACGGTCCCGTTCCCTCAGGCCGCCGCTCTTTCACGGACGCCGCTCCCTCACGACCCCGCACCCTCAGGCCCACACTCACCCACCAACACTCGCATTGCCGCACCGCGCATGCGCCCACTAGCTCGCACCGCGCGTGCGTCCCCCACCGCGCGCGGCGCTCCCCAGCGGCGCGGAGGACCTTAAAGGGCCAGCGCGGAACAGAGCGGGGCTGAGGGGACACTCGGGGAACGGCCCGGGGCTGAGGGGACACTCCGGGAAGGGCCTGGGACCGAGGGGACACTCGGGGAAGGGCCCGGGACCGAGGGGACACTCCGGGAAGGGCCCGGGGCGAGGGGACACTCGGGGAAGGGCCTGGGAACGAGGGGACACTCGGGGAACGGCCTGGGAACGAGGGGACACTCGGGGAAGGGCCCGGGACCGAGGGGACACTCCGGGAAGGGCCCGGGGCGAGGGGACACTCGGGGAAGGGCCTGGGAACGAGGGGACACTCGGGGAACGGCCTGGGAACGAGGGGACACTCGGGGAAGGGCCCGGGGCCGGGGGGACACTCGGAGACCGCCCGGGCCCAGCGGCTGCGCCTGGCTCGGCGCTGAGCAGGCCAGCAGCGGGACGCAGCAGCCCGAGGAGCTCGTGTGGGCAGTTTGTCAGTTCGTAAAAGCGCAGGAGTGAACGCACAGAGAGGCTCGGGCTGCCCCGGGATCCCTGGCAGTGCCCGAGGCCGGGTTGGACAGGGTTTGAGCAGCCTGGGACAGGGGAAGCTGTCCCTGCCCATGGCAGGGGTGGGACTGAGTGAGTTTTAGGGCTCCTTTCAACCCAAAACAATCCGAGATTCTATGATTCTCTTATTCTAGGAAGTGTTTTTATTGCTGGTAGAAAACAAGGAATGGTGCAGTTGGGAATTAGATGGGGGCTGTTCTCATTGACCCTGAGACTCCCTTCTGTCTTCTCTCTTCTGCTTGCCTGTCTCCTTGGGGTCATGGGAAAAGAAATTATTTCAAGGATGTGATTCTGCTGCTGGGTTTGAAATGTCTCCTCTGAGATGCCATGAAACACACATTGGAGACACAGCCTGCATTGGAGACCTGCAGGCAGCTGGAGCAGCCTTTGCTTCACGCAGAGTCGCCTGTGTTGTCAGCTCCTTTTACCTGTGACCTGTGAGGAACAGAGGGTGACAACAGCCTGTAGGCAACATCTCTACACATTGGTGGCTCTTCTGGACCAGGAACAAATGCCAGAGATATTTCTACCCACCTATCCAGCTTATTTCACCTAATCATCTGTCCTTGTCTGCACATACAGCTGTAGCTGTTGCACTGTCTGTCCATCCATCCATCATCCATCCATCCATCATCCATCCATCCATCCATCATCCATCCATCATTCATCCATCATCATCCATCCATCCATCAGCCATCCACCCATCCATCGTCCATCCATCCATCATCCATCCATCCGTCCATCCATCCCTCATCCATCCATCCATCCATCCATCCCTCCCCCATCCATCCCTCCATCCATCCATCCATCCATCCATCCCTCCCCCATCCATCCCTCCATCCATCCATCCATCCATCCATCCCTCCCCCATCCATCCCTCCATCCATCCATCCATCCATCCATCCCTCCCCCATCCATCCCTCCATCCATCCATCCATCCATCCATCATCCATCATCCTTCCCCCAGTCTGTCACTCAGTCACAGAACCAGAGGTTGGAAAAGACCTCCGTGATCGTTGTGTTTGAGTTTGAGCTAAATCATGGCACCAAGTGCCGTGTCCAGTCTCTTTTTGGGCACTTCCAGGAGTGGTGTCTCCTTTGCTTCACTGAGCAGCCACAGCTCTCCTTATCCCTCTGGCCACCAGCTCTATGAAAGTGCCATGTCCGGTGGTTAAGAAAAGAAGAAATGGGTTTTCTAGGAGGAGCCAGCTTGGAAATTTGAGAGTTATTTGCACAGGAAGATGCATCTCTGTGCTTCACTCTCGTCTGACTTAATTTAGCTGTGGATGTGCAGAGTGAGAATGCCTCCACCTGAACTGGCTGTGTTCCAGTGCACAGAAATAAGCTGCTGCCAGAATCTGTGTCCTATTTCACATGTTCGGTACACTAAGGTGTGGCAGCAGAATCTGCTGCCAGAATCTGAGTTTTCTGTCCTATTTTACATGTTTGGTACACTAAGGTGTGGCAGCAGATTCTGCTGCCAGAATCTGAGTTTTCTGTCCTATTTCACATGTTTGGTACACTCCACTCTTCAAATTGTCCAATCCAATAATGTTAATTATACCTTTAAAACGCTGGTATCTTTTGAATGGCTGTAAGAGGCCTCTAAGTTACAGGTCAGATGGATTGTAAATGTCTAATTGTGGTTAAATGAAACCTCACTTTCTTGTGCTCTAGAAAAGGAATAAAGCTAGCCAGAGAAGAATAAGAAAAGAAGAGATACTTTTTTCCACAATAATGGAAAAGAAGGTGTCAGAATTGTGGTCAGCCATGTAACAGATGTGTGGTCTTGGCTTACTTAATTGACCTTACTTTAAAATTCTTATTTTTATTCTGGTTTTATGTGTAAGCATCAATGATTTAAGTGTAATAGATGTAAACTTATGAAATAATTTCATAGAAAACAAACATATTGCCCATTGAAGGATATCCTATCAAAAATTGTTTAGTTGAAATAACAATTCCTAGATTCTCATAGATTTGTTTATATATCCTGCTTTTACTGACCATCTAGAAACACAAAAGACTCTTGAAAGCAAAAGCAGATCCCGATGTCCTTTATTTTACATTCTGTCCTTTATTTTACATTCAGCTCCTGATGTCCTTTATTTTACAAATTGGACACTGTGCTCATTCTCAACTTCAGAAAAGGTGCTAAAAAAACCCTTTCCTTTTTAATTGTTTTTTCAGAGACCCTTTTACCTCCCTGTTTCGGAGGGTGTAAATGAAAGGGTTCAGCATGGGAATAACCACAGTGTAGAAGATGGAGACGGTTTTGCTTCTGCTGGGTGAGGATGCAGCTCCAGGCTGAGCATACATGAAGAACACTGTCCCAAAGAACAAGCAGATTGTCACCATGTGAGAAGAGCAGGTGGAGAAGGCCTTGTGCCTGCTTTCAGCTGAAGGCATTTGGATGATTGTGATGATGATATAACCATAGGAGATAAAAACCACCAGGGCAGTGCCCACAATTATTGGTCCGCACACAGCCAGCATTACGAGCTCGTTGACAAGGGTGTTGGAGCAGGAGGTGTGCATCACTGCAGCAACCTCACAGAAGAAGTGGTTTATTTCTCTGTGCCCACAGAAGGACAGGCTGAACGTGAAGCCTGTCTGGATGGTGCAGTTGATGCAGCCTGACAGATAAGAGCCCAGCACCATGAGCACACAAAGCCTTCTGCTCATGATGACCTGATAGAGCAGAGGCTTGCAGATGGCAGTGAAGCGATCATAAGCCATCACAGCCAGGAAAAAAGCTTCTGTTGTGCCAAAGAGAGAGAAGAAGAACATCTGTGAAGCACAGCCAGCGTAGGAAATGCTCCTTGTGCCCAGCAAGAATGCCAGCGCTGCCCTGGGAGTGATGACAGAGGAATAACAGATGTCCAAGGTGGACAGGTTCTCCAGAAAAAAGTACATTGGGGTGTGCAGGCTGGGCTCCATCCTGATGATGAGGATCATGCAGATGTTTCCCACCACAGTGACAATGTACATTGTGGAGAAGAGAGCAGAGAGAAGGACTTGGGATCCTGGGTGGGATGTGAGCCCCACCAAAATGAACTCACTTGTCCTGGTGTGGTTTTCCATCTTTACTTTCCAAAAGGAAATTAGGATCCAGTGGATTGCAGATAGTTTGCATAGAGAAACAATTGTAGAAGAAGAAGACAAACAATGAGATATAGGAAACATAAGAAATATAAATTAATAAAATTAATTTTTGTTATAAATTATATGTATTAATTGTACAAAATAATATAAATAATATAAAATCTTAAACTATTTAAAAATATTAATACCATGTAAATTATATATAATTCAAAATGACATTAATTATAATATCAGATAGCATTAATTAAAATAATATATAAAATATCAAGATGTTATAATTATTGATATTAATAATAAACATTAATAATATAATAATAGATATATTATGGGTATAATATAATTTTTATATAATGTAATATTTTATATATTATAAGTAACAATGTTGATTATATCATATATATATTATTATAATTTAATTATTAATCAAATTAAATATGTATAGAGAGATGGAAAATGTATAAAATTTATTGATATATCATCTCTGCAGATTTTTGTCAACTATTACAGGGTAGTTTGTAAGCTAATAATCCTGTAATATTCACTTCAGTATAAAGAAACATTCTGCATGCAGCTCATCCGACCTATTTTAATTTAATAAACTTTACAACCAACTAGAAACAGACATTTCATTCTACAGCTGAAGAAATATTTCAGATTTAACTGGCAGAAAAGAACCTCATACTAGGATTGCAACTAACCCACAAAAGACTGCTCTCCCCTAAACAAAAGAACAAGGGAACATGCTTCTTCAGGTGATGCAAAAGAATTTAAAATATATATAAGCCAAGAAATGTATTAATGTAGATAATTGTTTAAAAAAAATCCAAAGTCTATTATTTTTAAAAGCCCACATTTTTTTCATGTGAGAAACTGAGCTTTTTCTTTTAGAAAAGTACTTGGAAAAACCCCCTTCAGATGTTGAGATTTCTGAAATAAATTTTCTCTACTCAAATGTTAATTCACGCAATAAGTTAAAAACTGACTAATTGACAGGCTGGTTCAAGTAATTCCTTTTCAGTTCTATTAAATAATTTTATTTTCTGTAAGCTAGTTGTCCTCTCATCTCAGCTTGAAAATATTCTGTGGATTGACACCTACATTAGAACTCATAGTTTGGATGCCTTTAAATTCAGTGGCCAGAGATAAACACTGCAGCTTTGGAATATTTACTGTAGAAGTATATTTTCATATACTGTAAAATATGAATCATATTTAAGATTTTCTGGTTTTCTCCACTGATCTGAAGGGAAGTGCAGCTGTTGTGTCTGTGAGAAGTTGGATGTAGATGTAAAAAGCTGAGTGGCAGAAATGGTATTTTGTTCTGTTTGCTGTCATTTCCATTAGATAATTTTTCTTAACCAGCATGTACTTAATCTTTTGAAAGCATTGAATTAATTTTTAACACATTTCTCCACCTATCCCTCCATGGTCCTTGAAATGTAACCTCACCTCTAGGTACCCTCAGAAGATATTTAATATATTTAATTTGTTCTATTTAATGCTTTGTTCTTATTAAGCCACAAGTCTTAGGAAAGGGAAATAAATTTGGAGAAAGAATTTCTCTTTGCATAACCTTGCTCATCAAATATTTTGGGGAATTTTCCTGGGGGTTTTTGTGTGCAGAGAGCTCAGGTGTAGGCAGTTAAGGTCAAGTATGCAGACAAAACCTTTTCAAACTTGTTGGCTACAACTTTCACAATTCCTAAAGCTTCCCATATTGTCAAAGAGATAAACAGATGCATCCACAGAGTGATTCTTCTTGCTTCACCCTACCTGTTCAAAACAGGGGAAAACCAGTCCTTTAGAAGTATCTGTCTTTGATAAAAAATTGATAAAGCCAGCCAGAAGAGAATAAGAATAAAAAAGAGACTTTTGTCTACAATAATGTAAAAGAAAACATCAAAATCATGTGTCATTATGGTCAGGAACTTAGCAGGTCTGTGGTCTTGGCTTGTGCAATTGACCTTATTTTTAAATTCTTATTTTTGTTCTGGTTTTATGTGTAAGTGTCAATTATTTAAGTGTAATAGATGTGAACTTATTAAATAATTTCCTGCTAATCAAACATATTGTCCATTGAAGGATATCCTATATCCTATCCAAAATTGTTCAGTTGGAAAAACAATTACTACTGCTTAGTTAAATAGCTTTTTAAAGAGGCTAAAAAAAACCTCAGCTAAGAATGAAGATGCTGGAGATACTTTTTTAGCTAGTGAGAAAGGAAGATTTTTGATTCACCTGAAAAGTCTTTGCTTCTTAGTTGATCAAACAAAAAGTCTCCAATCCATTAAAAACTGGCTTCCTGTTAATGAATTTAATTTCCAGAAGAACTAACTGTATTCATAAGCCCTGATTACTACCTTCTATATAATGAAAAAAAGAGTAACCAGCAGCTTTTAGTCCAGTTCTGTCACCACATTTAACAAAGCAAAGCTCAGATTTCACACACCCCAATACACATACCTTGTAATACAGTTATTAAAGCCAGGTTTGGTTTTTTTTGGAATTCAGGTTTCTTGAACACGTTGACAAAAAATACTGAACATTTTTTCCACTCAGCTGATTTTTCAGTAGCCCCTTGTAATCAAAACATCACTGGCCTTTCCTCTGGCTGCTTCTAAAAGCATTCTCCTTAGCATGTTGCTTATATATACTTTAATAAGTGTACATAAAAAACACCAGGGATTCACTTTCCAGAGTCCTGGATCTTCACAGCAGACATCTGAAATCTCAAATGAGATATTTTTCCCTTGTGCCATTTTTCTTTGCCTGTAAAGGAAGAAAAATATAAGGAATAAAATAACAAACCCAAACAATAAAGTGTAAAGTTGTTTCTGTGTGTCTTCTACCCCTACTTTTTTCACTGCTACTTATGCAGAACCCTTCCTGCCCCTTGTAGATTTTTTTTTTTCCTGCTAAACAAAACACTGTGGACCTAATCAAGACCTCATTAACCATTAGAATCTGCTTCCTTCTGTTTTGGTTGAGACAGAGACAACACAAAGCAACACACTAAAACACATAAAACCATATCTTATAGATAAATTACATATTTCTAGGGTGAAAATCTATATCCATGAGTAGTAAAGGAGCTGAGGGTAGTTTGCTTAGGTGTCTAAATAGACATGTCTAAACTTCAGGTATTTTTAGAAGAATTCAGAAGGCTTCAAACTGTTTTTATTATGACATGCATGCTTTTTATACATTCTTACAAAGCTCATAAGTTTGGTCAGGAAAGACAAGCAAAGTGTTTATTGGAAGGGACAGTTGCAGGTTTCTCTTATTTCTCCTTCTTTCTTTCTTGGTTTCTGTGTCAATGACCTTGGTAGGAAATTCTTTCAGGGGTAAACATGGATCCTGTTCTCAAACTTCCTCTGGCTCAGAGAAGTCACTGGAAAACCTCTTCCAGATTATCAAAATAGAACAGACACCCTTGCCTTCTCCCCAAGCAGTAATTCTTCTCTTCTCTGAACAAAAGTAAGTTTTCACCAGTTGTGTTCTCTTCTCTGACTCCTGCAGTGCACTCACCTCTGAAAGTTAGAGTCTGGTTCAGGTGAGGGCCCAGCCTCCAAGGGAACCCCTAAGGGAGCACTGCTCTGGGCTGCAGCAGCTCCAGGAAGGGAAAAAGCATCTCACACTCCTGTTCGTGTATCTCACACACCCTAGGACGTGGCTGTTTTTTAAAAAAGCAAATTTGCATTCTTCTCAGCACAGGAGTGTCACGTTTAGTTACAGTACACTATATGAAATTTTCTTTGTTTTGGCACGTGGTTTTAAATAAATCTGCTTGAAATAGATGTTTCTGTTCTTGATAGAATGGCTTCCCAAATTTTGTGACTGACAACAGATCAATGTCTTCTAAACCCAGATTATCTTACATTTGCATGCATTCTTATCAGCTCCTGGAGGCAGAGAGTGAGATTAAGAGAGAAGAAAAGTTTCTCAAAAGCTGAGATTGGACGTAGTTTTACCTTGTTTACTTGTGGGTAGTGACTTATTTACAGTACTTTAAAGGTACTTGACTTAGTGAAAGTGTTTGTTAGGAAAACTTCCAGAAATAAGCTTAGATGCAAGAGGGAACTTGCATTCTCAAAAGATCTGTGTTTGTATACGACTTTTCTGTGTTCTCTCCTTCCCTAGGGAACCCCTGTTGAAGAGGTTATAAATTATTTGTTTCAGGTTATCTAACAACATTTTTATTAGTGTACATAAACCTCATAATAATTGGATGATAATCCTCTTCCCAGTGTATTTGAAGGATTTTCCTGACATTATTTCAGAACAATCACTTCAGATCAGTGCTTTAAAACCAGTCAACATGTGTAGCCAAGTCACTGCATTAAAGGAACTTCACACCTTGCAGAATTTCAATGAAAAGCTCACTAAGGAGTTCTGAAATGCTATGGTTTGCACTTTGAAAAACTGAAATAAGAGAAAAACTGAAAATAATATATGAAAAACTGAAATAAGAGAAGAAATTGATGGTGATTATTGGTGTATCAGTACTTTAATACATTGCAGTAAGAATGAAGCAAGCCTGATGCTGTACTGATTTTGTCTTGGGTAGGGTTAAATTACTTCCCTGTAGCTTGTATAGGACTGAATTCTGGATTTGTGATGAAAACCAGATTGAGAACTCAGGAATGTTTTTATTGCTGAGTAGTGCTGGCACAGGCTGGGAGGGAGCAGGAAGCTGTGAGGGGACAGCTGACTCCAGCTGGGACTCTCAGAGAGACATTCCAGACCATTGGCATCATGCTCAGCAATAAAAACTGCAGGAAAAGGGGGAAAGGGATGTCCCTTCCAAAGAACCCTTAGGTGTGACCCCCATTTCCTTGGAGATGGCTGAACATAAAACCATATCTTATAGATAAATTACATATTTCTAGGGTGAAAATCTATATCCATGAGTAGTAAAGGAGCTGAGGGTAGTTTGCTTAGGTGTCTAAATAGACATGTCTAAACTTCAGGTATTTTTAGAAGAATTCATGTCTAGCTGTATCTGTGGCTCTTGATTTTTAATACAAATCTAAAGAACTACTGATTTTTTTTTTTTTGTTCC